TATACCACCATGAGATCTGGACATGTGAGTATTGTAAGCTGCATGGTGTATTACAGAGATGGTTTTCTTGACGAGCGAGCCGTTGCGCAAGGTGACAGGCGCATACATCTGCGAGTCTTACACGCCATTCGTGGTCCACATTCACGAATCGTGACTCACTCACGTTCGAAACTCATCGAGATGGTGACAGTTTGCTGATGATGAGCTTCCTATTGGCAACACAGCTGTAGGTGCGGTCGCTGTCGACAGTCGTGAGTGGTGATCGAGTGCTGGATGCACCCCACGCCGATATAGCCGGCGGCTCTGCATGCAGAGCTTGCATGCGTGTGCCATGTGCCATGTGCCGGACGCATACAGTCAATTTATGCTTTTAGTCGGCCGACACCTTGCAGCAACCTCCACATGCTGCAAGACTTGAGGGCCCCATCAGCTTGTAGAGATGTCAACATCAGTCCCGCCTCCGACGACGCATCCACACCCTTGATTAGCTATGGATTGCAAATTGCTCAGGCTAAGCTTTAAGCCCGACGTGGGCTGACAGACGCTCGAAGGGCGCGACACGAACAAATCACGGCTGAGACCATTTGGTGAATATTTGAGATGCGGACTCCGCGTCCGAAATCGTTGTGGAGGCAGGCAGGGACCATAGCTCATCCACCCTCTTTCCTGCCGCACTTGCCCATTCACCACTCAATCCCGAAACCGGTCCTCTTCCGTGCCGTAATATATCATGCCGGCGCACTTACGTCACGCGCACAAAGCGATCACGAATGTGTGCAAGGTCGGTCGCAAATGTTGCTAAAGAGCTCGACGGTCTGAGCGTCTCACGAGAGCATCTGCGCGCTCTTAACGACTTTTGTGGTCAGAACACCTCGAGACCTGAGCGTACTCATAAGAACCCAGGCAGATGCGACAACGTACCTATCTTCCCCCATCAGCTACTCCTCACATTGTTGTCCGACCAGGAATACTCCCTAAGCCCTGCCAGTATGATTTTCAGACCACTCGTCACGGCCTTTGTGGCCAGTGCCATGCTGTCAAATGTTCTTGCCTTCCCTGCCTTCCCGCCAGCAACGGGTCTTGGCTCCATCGGCAAGCGAGACACCGAGACGAAGCTCTATCCCAAGAACGTGATGGAAGCGATGCGGAAGCGCTTTCAGGCTACGATTGACGCGCAGGCAAAGGACGTGGCTTCCAAGTATCCTGTTGAGCATCTTGGCAATGTCACCGACGAGTCTCTGTGGGACTACTTTCATGAGCACGGCGTCATGCCACAGCCCATTCGAGGCAAGACCGGAGCGACCTCGGCGGGGCCCGAATGGACTGAGGGCAACCGTGAGAACCCGGATTCTTACGCGCCGCCCAACTCCGATCACGGTTCTGTGCCTCAAGCAAAGTGGCCTTTCGCACTTAGCCATAATCGCCTTCAAAATGGAGGCTGGGCAAGACAGTCCAACATCGATGTTCTTCCCGTGTCGACCGAAATTGCAGGTGTCAACATGCGACTGGACGAGGGCGCCTACAGGGAGGTGAGTTGAAATTTGTCATTCACATAACTGCTTGACCCAGTCTGACCGACGCGCCCCTTCTTCAACTCCGCAGAGGTGAGACACTGACCGCGCTATCTTATGTTCTCAAATTTTGCTCACACCTCTCCTCCAGCCATTGGCATTCGACAGCCGAATGGGCCTTCGTACTGAATGGCACATTCCGCATCGCTTCAATAGACGATGAAGGCAGGAATATCGTCGCTGACGTCGGGCCAGGTGACCTTTGGTGTGAGTAACTTCGAACTCTGTCTTCAACTCTCGGCTGACAAGCGCATCGCTTTGTGTTTCAGACTTTCCTGCTGGCAGTCCTCACACCATCCAAGGCATTTCTGCTGGAGGAGGAGAGTTCTTGCTGATCTTTGATGACGGGCACTTCAGCGAGGACAGCACCTTACTCCTGACCGACTTCACCGCACACATTCCTCGCGAGGTCTTGGTCAAGAATTTTCCAGGTCTCTCCAATGACGACTTCAACAACGCGCCGGGTTCTTCCCTGTACATTTTCCCTTCTGATCCACCAGCGTCGAACGACACTCAGCAAGTCGAGTCGCCTCAGGGAGAGGTGCCTGACAGTTTCACTTACAAGTTCTCTGAACAAAAGCCTATCGAACTCCTTGGAGGAAGCGTCAAAGTGGTCGATTCTAGAAATTTCAAGGCAAGCAAGACGATCGCTGCTGTTGAGGTGACAATCGAGCCCGGTGCGATGCGCGAGTTGCATTGGTGAGTGATATGAGCGTTTGGGTAGCGTCTCGTTGTCCTCACGCATGTCTCATCACACTAAAATCTTTCTCGGAACAGGCACAAACAGCAAGAATGGATCTACGTGATTTCAGGCCATATGAGGGTCACCGTCTTCAGTGGCCAGTCCAACGGTGCGTGTGTCTCGATCGGGATCAGAGATGCAGGCGTCATCTTTGACAACCTTCTTTTCTTTGAACAGCTCGCACGTACAACTTTGGACCTGGAGATACTGGAGCTTGGCAAGCACAGAATGGACACTACATTGAAGCGCTTGGAGACGAACCGGTCAAGTATCTGGAGGTTTTCAAGTCGTCCCGATACAGCGACTTTTCCCTTTCCCAATGGCTTGCCCTGACGCCACCTGCCGCGGTCAAGGCCCATCTCGGCTTCTCGGACGAAGCTTTAAAGACGTTGTACAAGAACTTTGCGAAGAGCGACCATCAAGTGGTCAAGCGAGATGGTCGCAAGAGGATGCCGGGTGGAAAGCGCAGCTTCGACTAAGCTGCGCCCAGTGGCGCGGGTGCAATGTTCTGGAAAGTGTTGTTCTGCACAACGTCGGTAGCATCATGTCGTTGTACCAATGAACTCGACCAATGGATAAGATCTTGATAGCCGCCAGGCATATGATGATGCTGGGGAGGAAAGAAGATCGCTTGATGTTGCTCAGGAGAAGAGACGTTGTCTCAGCACAGCCTCTGCGGACGTGCTTGGTTACTTGTGCTGTCTCCACGTGACTTGAATTGCGCCTTCGCCGCGACGAGCGTTCTTGCAGAGCCGCGCGATCGCGCCTGTGCGCGCAGCAAGCATCGGCGCGCACACAATCAAACATCACGACTCACGAATTTAGCGTGCATCGGTCGGTGCCTTGAGGAGATGAGGCTCTTGAAATTTTGTCGTTGGCTGCATGCGATCGAGCCCGCGTTACTCAGAGCCCATCACAACCCAGCTTTACACCTCCACACCTCTCACCACAAACGTGTACACGCAGCATCAACGCTACAACCCATTCAGGCGCTGCCCCGGGAAAACACAAATTCGGTCGCACCATCGATCGGCTGCGGATTGAGCATCTGCTTGGACCTGGTCGCATCTGCGTGATTTGGGAGAACACGAGATTACTCCTACCCGAGTGCCTCTGGCGCCTCGATACTACTGCCTAGATTGATGCTAGCATCTTGAGGTGCCATCACTGCTTGCCAGCAGTGAAAGGCCAGTCGCATCAGCATGGCTGAGGCACAAGTGCCGACGGCAGATGAGCCAAGTGCTGGTTCTTCGTTTTCCTTGGCGCAGTACGGCCTGGACTTGGACGATGTAGGCGAAGATGGAGACATGGATGAGGGGGGTGATGGGGGCAATGTAGCCCCGGCGTCAGAAGCAGCCGCAGGCTTTGGTCCCCAGGCTTCGACGTCTGCAGCACCTCAATCGAGTGGAGAGGGTGCCGGCCATGAGGAACGACGAAGCGCTTCGTCATCTGCGCGGGTTCCCATGGCTCGCAACAACCCTTTCCTCAACAAACTCAGGAGGTGAGTGCAACGTTCGGATATCTGTCAGCGCGGTCAGCTTCTCAAAGCACGCCCTATGCCCACAGTATGGTCGATGACCCCAAAACCAATGAGCTGATTAGGTGGTCGGATGATGGCGAATCTTTCTTGGGTGAGTCGTGTGGATGCTCCGAGAAGTTACTCGCATCTGATGCCCAGCACGCCTGCAGTGCCCAACCAAAATCGCTTCGAGGATGAAGTGCTACCGCGGTATTTCAAGCACAATCGCTTCCCGAGCTTTGTCCGGCAACTCAACATGTACGGCTTCCACAAGGTGCCCCATCTTCAACAGGGCGCTCTCAAGCACGATTCACCGCAGGTCGCAGAGCTGTGGGAGTTTCGCAACGACCACTTCCACCGTGATAAGCCAGAGCTGTTGACGCTCATGAGCCGCAAAAAGGCTGCGCCGCGAGGGGTTGCTGCAGAGAAGGAAGGCGCCGAAGGCAATGGCAAGGCGAGGGCGGTAGATGAAGAGATCGATGACAAAATGGAAGGACCGACGGGCCTGAACGCCGTCACGGGCGCCTTGATGCGCAACACTGGCGCGCTCGCTGCGGACACCAAGAGCGAAGGGACGCTGCAGCTCGCAAGCATTTGGCAAGCTATTCAGAGCATACAGGGCGCGCAGCAAGGCATCAACGATAATCTGAGGCATTTGCACAATACCAATGCTGAACTTAGAAGAGAAGCAATAGAGCAAAGACAGCGGTCACTCAAGCAGCAAGAGACGATCAACAAAATGTTGAGATTCTTAGCGGGTGTATTCGGTGGGCAGGATGCGGGCGTTGAAGCGAGTGCTAACATCCCTGGCGGAGCAGGTCCTCGGCCTGCGGAAACGCGCAGAAACCCCTCACAGCGAGGCCAGCAAGGAAGATTGATGATAGGTGATGGTAGCAGTCCTCCCAGTTCAGCAATCTTCGAGCTGCTGGATGACATCAAGAGCGGCGGCGGAATTGATGGCTCTGAGAATACGAGTGAGTGCGTGTGTAAGCCAAATGAAGGCTCTTGGTGCCCTGACGCGCGCCGCACCCAATCAGAACGCTTCACAGAGGCTGGTTCAGCTACGAGCTCGCCTAAAGACGGCGGCTCCCCTCAATCACGCTTCATCAATCTACCCTCGTCGCCTGATGCGGACATGAACACACTCCACGACAGCGCTCCACCTACCCCAGGCGGCACTAGAAGAATGAGTCAACAAGCGCAAAAGCAGATTCTCGATGCACTCTCTTCTGGACAGGGCGCAGATTGGCTAGCTCAGCTTTTTGGAGGCGAAGGTGCGAATGCAGCCATGACGCCCGCCGCATCTACCTCAAGAGTGGCTTCTGCAACGCCTTCCAGGTCGGGCACCCCTTTTGCAGCCTCCACTCCGGGCAGCAGCGGCATGAAATTTGATCAGAGCACGCTAGCGGCGTTGCAGAGCATCTTGAGTGGCGGTGGAAACGCTCAGGCTGAACACGCGGCCAAACAGTCTGCCCTCCCAAACGAGACCGACTCTCGTTTCTCCTTTTTCAACGACGCGCCTGACTGGGATCCCGCTGCTGCCAATGCACCTTCGACCAGCCGCGCCCTCTCGGCCCCTAATGCTGTGAACGGACTGCATTCATGGGCGCCCGATCAGGGCGCTAGCGGCTTGCCCTGGTCTAGCGCCTTTTCGCAAGCTACATCCACATCCAGGGGGGAAGACGCGTCGCAGATTTACGTTCCAGGTCAAGGCGAATTGCCCTTTCCTTCACTCTCAAAGCACGATACGGCGCCGCCAGCGCCTCTATCACCATCTGCGCAGAATCAACTCGCTGTTACGCTTCAAAGAGCCAGTCAGGGACTTGCGGGAACAAGCAATGACTCTGCCACTGTGCAGAATGCGATCAATGCGCTGGTCGAGGGCCTCAGGCAGGATCCCAGTCTTTTGAACAACCTCGCTGCCTTTTCGCAGCCGGGTCAGGAAGGCAGCGCTACACCTGTAGCCAGCACTAGCGGCACACAACCGTACGCGCCGCCGAACAGTACGCAAGGGATCACTTCTGCTGAACCTGCTGGAGAGGTCGATATGGACAGCCTCTTGAGAGAATTTTTGGAAGCCGGCGCCACGGGCAGTAGCGCGGGCACACCTGCGGCTAGTGGCGAAGCGCCGCTAGCTGACCCGCCGAGCACGACGCTCAATGGCACGCATTCGCCCACGTCTACAAGTGGAGCCAGGTCAGGGACTGCCACCAACCCCTCCACTTCCACCAACTCGCCCAACCTGGGAAGAGGCAGCAGGGCCAATTCACCAAGTACCGCGACGCACTCTGCTGCTCCCAGAAAGCGTGCGCCTCCGCCCGAATTCGAGGGCGCACTTGGTGCGGATATAGAGGTGGCCAATGCAAAGGCGCGAAAAGCACCGAGGCATGCCAGCGTTAGGACTGCGGGGGCGGAATGAATCGCAAAGCGGTATTGCGGTGATGTATCAGCGCCATCACTACATTCACAAGGGGGGAGGGGGGGGTCATAAACTTGACGCAATAGCTTTCAATCGTTTACAATACGAGCTCTCTAGCTCTTCAACCTCTTTTATATGCGATTCTTCACCCAGTGATCGCAATTCTGCCTCACAATTCACACACGGAACAGGCAGCTTGCATCTAACCTTCACCGCTCCAAGTCAGCGCAGTTGTGGGCAGAGGGCCGGGCGCCGGTATCACGAGGCTCCGCATGCTCTTGCTGCAACAATGTGCGCTGAACCTCATCCTTTCAGCAACGTCGACTCCCAGCTACAGTTGTCTTCATGTAACATATCCCCAAAAAGATCTTGAGAGGTGACAATGCACAGACAAAGCCAGACCAGAGCAGCAACGTCTGCAGGGCCATGCTCTCTTCAATCAAGAATCGCAAGCGTCTATGCGAACGCATCATTATTGAATCTCGCTCAAAGGTCTGCTCCTGACCTGTCAGACTCCTGACTCCACGGTTCTGCCGCTACAACAAGATGGTCACGTGAAGTTTTGTCACGTGTCTGTGCCTCTTTGCACGCGCGCGATGCCATCTCGGTTTGTTGCGAGATCGCATCGGTGAACTAATCTCGAATTAGATCTTGATTCGTGAGACGCAAAGCCGATGCCTCTCTAGTTCAGCACTTTCATTTCATCTTGCCGTCAGTGAGACAGCGCAGGGAAAGAAATCGTCGTCGGCACCGAACCAAGGCTTCGAGCAGCGAACAGACGGCGCAGAGCGCGACTTTTCGGCTAGCACGCCAAAAGATGCCGCGGATCTCTCCACGAGCTGTTCTGCAGCTTTGCAGGGCCAGACAGCCGCTCACATTGGCCTCTCCTATCACTGGCACTGAGGCTTCAGCTGGAGCTTGCAGACTTGCCAGCTCAAGCGCTTCCTCGTACTCAAGGGCACTGCCTAGCTCGAGCATCCTGTCCCTCTCGTCCAGCAACTCTCGACCCGCATACAGCGCCAGTACCATCCCATCATCCCTCGTCAGACCTATTCCTTTCACCTTTGCGCTCTCGCAACCTCCTTCGAACACGAGGTCGGTCACGTACGGTTCGGAATATCAACCCTCTCAAAGGAAGAGAAAGAGAAAACACGGGTTTTTGAGCAGGATCAAGACCAAGAATGGAAGGAAGACGCTGGCGAGACGTAAAGCTAAAGGGAGGAGGTTCTTGAGCCATTGAGACGTCTGCGCGCACGCATGTACAGTGAGTCAAAGCTTTCAGATGCTTGCAAGGTCAGGATATCGAAAGAGGAAAGTCGTGATATGCTAAAGTCTGGCGCTTTCCTACTCGCAGCGCTGCACTGTGACAATTGAGGCTCATCTGGGCCTGCATGGGGAA